CAAGGACATACTTATTCTCAAAACGACAGTTCTGCTGCTGGTTATGATTACAATGGTAACACTACTGGTAGTGGCAGTGGTAACAATAATCGTTTCAGGTTTGCCGTATTCCGACCCACCTTTTCATGTTTATTAAATACTGCAAAATGATCTCGGGTGAAACCGGGCTTAAAGTTGAAAGCAAAGGATGGGGACGTGCATTACGTGCCACTGTTTGCCGTTGGTAGGTTTTATCATTAACAATATATTTTTTTTAGCATTTCTTTTAACATTTTTTATGGTTTTGGCAGGTTTTCGTACTGAAATTTAAAATTTCGGATGAAATACGGAATTTCGAAGAGATGAATATTTAATCTTGGATTAGAAAATAGCGTTGCCCAAGAATCACTGCTTTTGAGAGAAACAGTGGAGCTAATTGAGATCTCAGCAAATTAAACTTAGTCGAAATCGTACCGGCTGCCGGTACGAGGATGCGTTTTTTGCACAGTTCTCGCGCTGGTTTTTCTCGCCAGTGGCATGCTTTTCCCGACAGATGCTTCTAGCTAAAAGAATTGTGAGTGGCCACCATGACTGTTAGAATTGTTACAATGACTCCCAATCCATGCCCAAAAAATTCAGCGCTCTGGATGGTTCGTTGCGAAGTTACGCCAAATTCCACGTGTTCGTACGTGAGTAGCGACGTGAGTGTTTTCTTCGCTTGCTGTTACTTAAACGCGACCTTGGGTAGTGCTCAGAAAGTTCCAGTACTCAACCTGCTCTGGTTGCAGAGTTACGTCAAGTTTCATGTGTTCGAAGTGAGTGGCAACGTGAGTGCTTGCTTCGTCCGAATTTGGTCAAGCACGGTCCTGGGTAGCGCTCAGAAAGTTTCAGCACTCCAGCTCCTCTGGTTGCAGAGTTACGTCAAATTTCACGTAAATGATAAAGTAAATGCTTTCTTCGTTTACTGTTACTCAAACATAGCCCTGGGTAATGCTCAGAAAGTTTCAGCACTCCAGCTGCTCTGGTTGCGGAGTTGCGTCAAGTTTCACGTGTGTACACGTGTTCGTACATGGGATGCAGAGGGGCTGACAAGTAATTTGCTTTCACGGACACAACAGTGGGCATCAAGTAACGCTGCAAAGTTGCAGCTGTCTGCAGCTTATTGATCACCTTGAATTTGGAATTAGCATGATGCCAATTTGAACTTTGACGTGTGTGTACGTGAGTCCTGAGGGTGTGTAAAGGCTGAATTTGAAATCTTTGGATTAGACGCGGCCAAGGAACAACTCTGTGAAGTCCCAGCCTCC